AGACGCACCGATACCGAAGTTCTTAGGGCGGGACTCGAAGAGAGGGTTCTTCTGAGTCTTCGAGCTCGTCTTGGAGCCAAACGGCGCGGAGGCCGGCTTCTTGCTCGATCCCTTGGTGGCCTTGGGCTGGTCATTGAGACGAGGCAATCAGCATGGCATGTCTTGGCAGCATAGAGAAGCTGCCGCCATCGATGTGCACCCGGAGCTCTAACGCTCACATCCGCCCGTCCTGAGGACGAGCAGTTGCGAGCCCAGCAACCGCTCTGCGTCATAACAGCCCTCGCGCATGCGGGTAGAGGGTGCTCGGCTAGAGGACAGTCTTGCTAGTGCGGGAGGATCCTGCCTGGGGATAGCGTATGCGAGTTAGAGCACAAGCCGCGGCGGGTCATCCAGACTGAAAACGCACCATCCATCCCAAATCTCTCACTCTAGCAGGATTCCCCATTGCTCCGTGTGCCCAACGAGATCCAACAGCGTTGTACGGGGGCTCACCATTGTTGATAGTTGATGTCTTGGCGGCGGCTTGAGGAGGGTATCGGCTTGGGTGAGAGTTTATCTGATAAGCGCAGCCTTGTATCTGATAAGATCTGTTCGCTGTCGCGTGCCAGCCTGATCAACCTCCCCTTCCAACTCCTTGGACGTCGGGGTACCATATATCCCCTCTCTCCCCCACCCTATATAACACTCCATCAATGCCCACATACTCGACTTCCTCTAGCGGTCCCCCTGTCATCTTTCCGTCCTTCCTCCCCTCGTAGCAGCCTCTCGACTTTCCCTTGACGCCCTTCGGCAAGACTCGAGATCCAACGCGCCCACCCATGTCCTACGAGAACGAAAAAGCCCTTCCCCCCGGCTCCCTGCACGACAGCCTTCCTGAGGACTCAATCCCGAAACTCGACGGGGAGATTGAGCAGGAACTCGAGGCGGAGGAAGACGCTCACATCGGTGTCAAGGCCGTCCGAGAAAGTGTATGGCCCCCATTCCAAGTGGTTCCTTTTCATTGGGTACGTCCGTCGCAATCTCAGCCTAATCTGCTCCTCTGTGCATATCACACTTACCGCTCCCCCGCATTGTTGTGCTGACTATTGTTCTCAGAATCGCTTTGGCGTCCTACATCTACTCGCTTGATGGCCAGACGACCTACAACTACCTCGCTTTCGCAACCTCTGCATTCGATAAGCACAGTCTCATCTCCACCATTCAGGTTGCCCAGTCTGTCATTAGTTAGTTACTCATCCCTCTTCTCTCTTCATGTCTGACATCGCCCTATAGTCGCCTGCGGGAAACCCGTTATCGCCAAGTTCGCCGATGTCACCTCCCGTGCAACGGCGTACCTGATTGTCCGTAAGTGGTCCAGATGCCTCCTATTGATGTAACAGATCTCACCTCATAGCGTCCTGTTCCAGTCTGCTTCTACGTCCTTGGTAAGCGCGTGCGGCTGATTACGCCTTGCGACTCATTGCTAATGTCATGCAGGTCACATCGTCATTGCGTCGGCCAACGGCGTAGGCGCTCTTGCGGTGGGCATAATCCTCTACGCTGTGTACGTCCTCACATGCCGTATCGTCCATACGTGCACCTGACTCTGTAATACGGGTTTGCTCCCACAGCGGATACACGTTAGTCCTGCCTCCGTCGTCGCGTCTACTCACCGTCAGAACTGAATTTTGCTCCCGTTGACAGCGGACTCCAACTCCTGACCTTAGAACAATCACCGAGGTGAACGAAGAGAGTAGCAGGAAGAAGAGTTCGTTGAGGGGAATAGCTCGTTGTTGCTTCTCCTGGGGAGTGACCTTGTGCGGAACGTGTGCGATATGTAGCTCCTCCAATCTGGGTAATTTGCCTCGCATAGCCATCGCGAATGAAGCCAACGGACTCCTTGCCGAGTGCAGAGAGCCATCCATGAGAGTAATCTGTCGCACGTGGCGGGAACGATAGCTGTGTTCGAGAACGTCGGATTATGCCTGGAGGGAAGGGACGTCTTCAAGGATGACGGCACGAAAGAGCTGTATCTGTGATTGGACACGCCAGGATCGACATGCGAGCGAACAGTTCCACAGGGTGCGAATGTCGGCTGGTAGCTTGCTAGTGGAAACCATCTTGCTAGTGGAAACCATGTCAACTACGTTTTCCCTGACTTCGACAGGGAGCCTTATCGGTAGGCATCGAAAGCGGCGATTGTCGTGGCGGTACGGCTTCATAGAGTCCGGCATACCGGAAAGTAGAGGAAGGTGGTGTTCGGTGGTGGGTATGAAAGGTTGGGACCGACCTGAAGGATTACGCAGAGGGTAGTCACTGGTAGAGCCAGTACAAGACCACTAATATAGACGGCGAGGGGGCGCCCTGCTGCTATTCGGGCAGTGTAAGAGGGTTCCATCTGTCGTTATTGACCTTCTCACAACAGCTTCACTCGTGCACGGCTCCGAGTCGCGCCAGCCTTTGACGCCATTGCAAGCCACGAGGACGCGGAGATGAAGAGCAGATATAGCTGCGGGAAGGAGATTGTGTCCGACTCGTATCTTAACAGAGACGATGCTATGAAGACTCACCGTAAGGCTACGTTATCCAAGGATGCCTGGAAGGCTATGCAAGGCCAGTAGGGCTAGGAGTACCCTAAACCTTTTGAACAAAGCCTGTACCAGCGACCTATAGCTGAGAACAAAACTACCATGCCCACCGTTCGGAATTTGGGAGCGGCGGATATCCAGTCCCACATGCAGTCATTATCCTCGATTCAGTACAAAGCCCGTTGACAATCTTCAGAAGTGCTAGCCTTGACCAGGCTGTACCTGTAATAGATCGCTCAGGCTGTCTGACATTGAATGGAGTGCCAAGTGTGGCAGACCGCCCTGCCCTGCCAATACGAAGCGAAGGCCGCATATTCACGCATCGCGTTGCATAAGCGGTGCATCGGCGACGATCGTTACGACCTACTCATGAGTCCATCGTCCTCGCTTTCCTTCTGGCCTTGTCCCGAGCCGAAGCGCATCGCATTGAACGTGCGTCCAGGTCCGAAATCGTTTCCAAAGCACGAACCCACATCATAGTTGTCGGCGACGACGACCACGCTGGAATGCGCGGCAGCGAGAATGCACATGCATCACCAGAACCAAATCAAGACCAAGACCAGCAAATCACCGAACATCTCTGCGGGAGAAAAAACACATTCAGCACGCAATCACTAAGTAGGATATTTCAGCACTCACCCGACCCAGTGGGAGTGAGAGATGACACTCGAAGGTTGTGAGGAAGCCTCATATACCAAACACGGTGGAACAAGGACTGCCTTGCTATAGTACCAATTCGTTCGGAGGGCGTCTCGCATGCGTGCAGATATATCATGGGAAATTATGCGCGTGATGATAGACGATGATGGAGACAAGATCCGCGACAGCAAAACAGCAAGTATAATACACACACAAGAGCGGAACCAATCCAGGGTCGGCGAGCCAGCAAGCATTACTGGGCAGCGAGCCTGAACATCATTCCGACCAACGAGTATGAAGTCGGCCACTCACCTGACCGGTTTCGTGCCCATTCATTGCTGTAGCAGCAGCAGCAGCAGCCGCACCCTTCCCTCTTCCCCTTCCTCTGCCGCGCCCTCGCCCGCGTCCTCTCCCAGTCCCAGTCGTGCTCCCCGTCTCGCTCGCAACCGCACCTCCAGAGCCAGCCGCGGCCGCCGAGGCGCTTCCCCTCCCCCTCCCCCGTCCCCGTCCACGTCCCGTAGGCGCAGGTGCAAGTACAGGTGCAGGCACAAATGCAGGAGCCGGGATCGGCACAGGCGGCGCAGACACGCTCTCGAACGCAATCGCGTGCGCGTGCGGAGGCTCCGGCAGTTGATGGTGGTGCGCATGGCTCCCTCCCTCCAATTGCTCGACCGCAGAGCCGTGTATGGGCTGCAGCGGGAGCGTCTCCTGGTGTGCCCTCAGCTGCGCGGCCTGGGGAACGTGCGCGTATACGTGTTCGGCGTGTTCGCGGCCGTGGACGTGCACGAGCGCGTGTGGGGGTGCGGTGTGCCCGGGGACGTGCTGGTGAGGGTGAGGGTGTACGTGTGGGGATTGGGGGGGAGCAGGGGGACCTCCGAAGGGGATATCGCGCGGGGGTGGAGGGCCCTCGGCGCCGGCGGGGGGTACGGGGACGGTGTAGGAGTAGTAGGGGGGCGCGATGGGGTCGGACTTGAGATAGTGGACGAGGGAAGGTTGTGCGGGGACGGCGATGTCAACCGCGTCGAGGAGGAGGCTGCGGGACTATGAGCCTTAATGGATAGTTGGGGAACAGAGGGATCGAGGAGAGAGGGACGTACTTGCACTCTTCTTGGAGCCGCTTGAGCTTGTCGTCTGCGCGGGCGAGGGCGCGTTCGTACTCTGTATGCGCCTGGACGCGAGGTGGGATGTGAGCGACGACGGATAACAGAAGAGGACGTGTGAGAGACATACGGTGGTGACCTGGTCGTACTTTTCCCTTAAGGCCTGGAACCTACGCGCTGTTAGGCCCCTTCGAGTGGGCGATCGGGCAGAAACGTGACAAACTTTTCCTTGTATCGGGTGCCTGTACGGTGCGATGTAGACGGCTGGAGGGAGACGAAGGTGGTGAGCAAAGACGGGTAGGAAGATTGGAGGGAGGTTGAAGACCTTGAGACTTCCGGCAGAAGAGACAAGTGAGAGGGGTGGTGGGGGATAGGGAGCGGAGGAGGAACGAGACATGTCTTCGGCCATGGTAGGCAGAGGGACGGCGTGCTGCAGGCAGAGCGCTGCAGTCGTCGGCGACGGCGAGAGAGCGGCCATGGACGGTGAGCGGCCACTGGCAGAGGGCGGCGACCAGCGACACCCCAACGATGCATGACCATAACAGCAAGCACAGTGTCATTCATGGTATTCCGATATGGTGTAGTGGCTAACATTATCGCCTCTCACGCGATAGCCCGGGGTTCGATTCCCCGTGTCGGAATTGTCCCCTACCCTTTTTGGGGGAAGCCACTAATTACTACTAGACTTAAGGGCGGTGTTACGGTGAGGTCATTACTTGTGTCATTGGCGCGAGACATCGTTGGCTCCTGGCGCGCGGGTAGTAGTAACTTATGAGCCTCCTACGGTGTCGTACTCGCTGCTCTGCTCACTTTGAATCACCCCATCATGTCTACCAACACTACGGGATCCGGAACCACGCCCTCGCGCGGTAACACCGCCGGTGCCGGCGTCGGCCACTCTATCCGGTGAGCAGCTTCCAGGAATCTGGCAAACGCCATGTACTGACCACTCGGTCTCAAGGGGCGCTTTCCAGACAGTCTCAGGTTCGCGATCCTGTCGAGCACCCGTCGCGCACACATGTCAGGCACTAACCACTCCTCTTTGACTCCAGGCATCGGTGACAGCATCCGCGGCAACGCCATGGACTTCGTCGACTCAGCATTGGGCACCGAAAAGCATCACCCCGAGAGCGACATCGGCCGCGCCAAGACGGAGGCCGCCGTGAATCGCATGGAGGCCGGAGGGCACGCTGCGAGCCATCCCAAGGACACTGCTGTCAGCTCGTCTGCTGCGAATCCCGCCCCTACAACTGGCACGACGGCGGACTCTACGACGATGCAACCTTCCACGGCGACGTCGACTGCCCAGCCTCCACTTCCCAATCGTAACTTGTAGAGCGGTATCAGACGGTCGGTTCGACGACCCAAGATGAAGTCATAGTTTACGAAGCTGGAGTGGATCTGACCATAAATTGTATATTACTTGCAAGCATCCCGAAATCCCGCGGATCACCCGGAGCGAGCTTGTTCTCGTCTCCGTGATCATGTCGTGGGGCACACAGAATATATATACGCGACTCTCGACTTTCAAGGCTGCAATGCCGTGGGTTCCGTCGCACGAACATATACGAATACAACATAGCAACTGTCTAACTTCCTCTGCGACGCTCTCGGGTTTACTCGGCACCGTCAATAGCTCACAGCAAACTTTCCAGCTTGTATTGCGAGGATTGTCATGAGTATTGGGTGAGTGATTATATAGAAGCTAGAGCTACAATTGGTATTGCATGATCGTGGTGTATTACTACTGTATTCAAAGGCAATCATCGTCAAGAGCCCACTCAAGTGCACGTATCTGGCCTTCAACTAGAGAATGTTGCTATCCAACGTTATGTTCAGTCTGCTGACCACTGACGACTATAACGTCTCAACGACAAGTCAGCCCAGTCGCTTGGGCTCACCAGACAACGTGTAACGGTGAGGGGCTGGGCCGGGAGAATTTCCCTGCTGCCCCATAACCGCGGGGTCCCTTCGAGTCTGCCCCTCCTCGTACCCAAAGTCGCGGTTTGTCGATCCCTGCTGCCCCATCGCCGATTCCTGGCCTCCGTACGGGGCCTGCGCAACGGCTGCTTCAGGTCCAGCGTTGCCGAACCCCGTCGTCAAGCCACTCGAGGGCCCAAGGGCGTTGCCCCCATTTGCGCGCTGCCTTGCGCCGAACCCGGACGAGGACTCCGTGTTCGTCGAGACGCCGTCGCTGTCGCCTGCGGGGTTTGGGTTGCGAGTGCCCGTGCTGGACGTCACGGAGGCGGCTCCGGGTCCTCCGGTGAGCTTCGCCATCCCGCGCTCGACTTCCTGCCGACCTTGCTGCGATATCGGGGCGTGCCTGCTGCCCTGCGAGCCGTCCACGGCTTCCATGAAACGACCCCGGATAGACTCTCCGAGACCTGGATGTACGAGGGACCGTGAGCACTACGTCAGGGAGCTTCTAATTCGGGCGATGGAATGTGGAACGTTCAGGTTGTGTATGCGGGCGAAGTGCGGACCCGCGATGGCGGGATATCCGACATGGAACAAGACGTCTCCGTCTATACTTACCGTGAACAAGTTCCGTCGCACCTCTGTGATATGGGTCAGAAACGTGATCCAGCTCCATATTGCGTAGCACTCACTTGAGTTTCTGTGTCTTCGCTCCGTGCGCGTGTGTGTCATCCCCCGTCGTCCGGTTCGTGTTGTCAGATCTGGTGTTGGACATGGTGGTACAGGCGTAAGATAGTGAAATGTAGAGTAGTAGCGGTATCGAGGGGTGTGGCATTGACCAACAGAGGGGCGAGTGGTACTATGTATTCGAGCGAGCGCTCGACAGCTATGACGACGATGGATGGGGCGATGGACTGGCCCCGTGTGGGGCCTGTGGTGGCATACCGCCGGGTCCGGTATGTCCTCTGCTCGATCTAGGGGTACTCGACGTCGATGGCTCACAGAGCTTATTATTATTATTATTCTCTTGTCTTATACCAAACATAGCTACAAAGTACGGTAGGTATGTAAGTAAGCGTCTTATCCGAGATTGTTTGGCATTTCCACCCAGCGCGTCACTTACAGCGCCTTGCATAAGTCCGTGAACGCGCTGATTTTTTTCTCTCCGGCGTCTACGCTAGGCGACCCTAAGTAAGCCACATTACGGTCACGAAGACTTCTACTACGCCATAACGGCACGTCACAATTGAAGAGCTACTGACTCGATATACAAGAAGTTCATTATGTGTATAATGGATAAGAAATGTTTGTATCTCATTTTGTCCTACATATGAACGCGCATAAAGTGGTCTAATGCTCATGTTCTAATCTCCACACAATTCACCTGCTTACTTCATGTCTGGAGCAAAGGCGCAATCGCGAGGGACGTGTACTTAGTGGCAGCGCCTCCTGCATCTCCAGATCTCGCTAGACATTGTGTTGCCATGTCCCATGTCGAGCGTAAGAGAACGAGGCTAATGGTCTGCAAATCGCACTGCAAACGTTTTGACCGTTGAGGGTAATCAATTGCGGTCCTTACTTTGTGGAGCATCACCTTCTATTTGTT